ATTTTTATAAAATTTAAAGGAGAAATATTTTTGTGTTAACTTTTCAAAAATAATTTTGATGTGAATGGTAGATTATTAGTAAAAGAGTATGATGTGATAGGTACCGTAAGAATTAGTGTGGACAAAAGTGAGTTTTTAATACGAGTAGAAAAAAGAATGACTTTCCGAGACACACAAATAAAGAAAGAAAAAGAACTTTTTGAAACAGAGAGAATACATCAAAAGATCTAAAAAAAACTAGTTGTAATATGACTATATTATTTATTTATTTTATCAAACGAGCAAGGAAAATAGGTCAACTAATTAAAATGAATAAAAATTGACTATATAAATAGTGAACTAGAAGATAATTTTTAAAGGAAAAAAATAATTACTAAGGTGAGCTCTTGAATTGTCTACCAAAAGAAAACGAAGAGAAGGCATACTTGAGAAGTAAAAATGGAAACTAAACATAGAAGCGAAAAATAATCTCTCTTCGGTCAAAATTAACTTCTTGATGAAAAGAAATAGTGATCAAAGAGCAAAAGAAAATTTTGTTTGAATTTTCCCACCTACATATATAGTAGGAGTAATATATATTCATTGAGTGTAAAAAAAACTCCGTAAACTTTTATTGAAAAATAAATAAATAAAAGTGCTCCGTATATGCTAGAAAAGTAAGCACTTAATTTTGTACATTCAAAGTGAAAAGAAAGTTTTTGATAGAGATATCATTGATTCATCATAAATCACACAAATATTTCTATTTAAAAATGACTAAATAAAGGCGGCCCAAAAAAGGGAGACGACTGAGATCTAATTATAAACATCAAAGTACTCCCAATTTAGAAGATGGCACAATTTTTTTTTTAAAAAAAGAATTGCATATTTTTAATCTTAACTAAAGAAACATATAATGAATCATGTTACATTGTTACTCGCTCATCCCAAGTAAAATTTATACCGAGTAGTTTTTATTGTTAATTTTAATGTTATCGACTATTTTATGTAATTGTATTCACTGAAAACGGATGATAATTTTAAACAGCCTAGTTAACGAGTTCGGAGATACAGAGTGCAAGTTCGTTCAACGATATTATAAATTCTATAACAACAGTCCAGGGGCGGCAGCTCCCGGTAGCGGGATCCAAGGGGAGGCAGTCCCTTGCAACGTGCAAGGGGCAAAACCCCTAAGCCGGGTTGAGATGTTTTATGAAAATCCTTTATTTGGAATTTTCGTAATTGGAGTTTGAAATAATGTACATTCCAATGTATAAAACTATAAATGTAAATGTTTGATCTCAAACATTAGAATGTTTCGCAATAAGTTACTATGATTCACACATAATTGCAGAAATAATTATTCACTCCATAATCAGCCATAAACATTAGAATGTTTGAGTAGGAACATTTGAATGTTACTTGAAATTGTGTTGTTTTATCAACCAAAACGTCCGTTTAGAATTTTGCCAATAAATATGGCTCCAGGGTATGTTTTGAGACAACTGAAACTTTCATGCTTGTTTTAGATATCACATATGTCTTATCCGGTTGAATTATTTGGTATACCCCAAAAATAAATCAATTTGAAAGTGTTTTTACATGATTCATTAAGTCTATCAAGTCGTCTTCCACGTTCTTCGTAAAGAAATCACCATAAACGGAAGTAAAACATAGAGAATGTGCCAAAATAAGATTTTATTTTTTTATCTTCAAAATAAAAGTCTGTACTGTGATAATGTAACACTGTATATGAAAATTTCACAATACTTGACATGATTGATACTATATATACATTTTAACTTCTAAATGCTATTGTCCCTCCCAATTTTCCAACACTAATAACCCTTTTTTTGCCTCTGGCTTAATCGTAATTTTTTAGACGGATAGTAGTATAACACTCCCATGTGTGACTAGATTCTACTTAGATTTATCACGATTTTAAAACAATAATTGAAATTCTCTTTAACAACAAAAGAAAGAGCTTGAACTATTGAAAATTTTTCTTTAAAAACGAAATAAAGAGCCTGAACTATTGAATCTTCTCTTTGAAAATGGAACAAAAGTTATGCGAGGTCTCACACGTCAAAAAAGAGAGAACCTGTTATATACTCTCTCCGTCCCCCTAAGATGTTCTCATTTTGACTTTTGGTGGTTTTTAAGGAGAGTTGAAAAAAGTGAAAGTTTACCATAATACCCTTAATGAAATATGAGTGGAGTGTATTAAATGAGGTGGGTAAGGTGTAATAAATAAAGTAAGTGGGGGTAGTTATGGTATTTTAATTGTTAAAAAATGAGATGAGAAGATCTATTGTGGACAAAGAAAAAAGGCTATTGAGAAAATCTATGGGGGACGGAGGGAGTACTTTACGTGCAAATAGACTATCATCTAAAATAATTTTAAAAAAATAAAATCAATAATACCTAGTAAATACTTATCAATTATGGAGTACATACACTTTTTGTCCAAAATACTCTTAATTTGACTTAACACAAAATTTAAAGAAAATAAAAATGAATCATTGAAACTAAGGAAAAAAAGATAGATTGTGTGTCTCTCTAAGTTCTTCAAAAAAGGTTAGAATTTTGTTGGAACGTTAGCCTTTTTTCAGAGGCATGTTACTATTCACATGATTAAATTTTATTTTTACTAATTTTTACTACTCATTTTATAAAATAATATAGTTCTTTCATATCTTGTTTTGTAGATCTATTTGGTGTAGTTTCTAAATGTATAAATTTTACTCCCTTGGTTTCTAAAAAGAGTTTCTAAATTGACTAATAGGTGAAACAAGGAGTGTATATTTGTATTTAATTTTCAAATTCTGTCTTTGATGTGATGGGTAAAAGTAAGATGTGATAGGTAGATTTAATTAGTGAAAACATATGAAGTGATAGGTAAGGTAAGAAAAAAAGTGGAGGTAAAGTTGATTTTTTAATAGAAAGTGTAAATGTTTTAAGAAAAATGAAAAAAAAAATGAAAGAGGAAGTGTTAAAAAAATGGAGGGAGTATTTTTAAATTTTATACGGAATATCAATTTTCAACTAAATTGAATTAAAAACAAATTTAATCAAACCTCGTAAACAATAGACTATTTAATACTCTCTTTGTCTATTAATTTTCTTTTTAACCGTCCCAAGTTTCTTTCCTTTTCATAGTTTTGACAAAAAAAATTCAATAACTGCATTATTATGTTCTCACTTTTCATTTATATTATTCACTTTATTCTATTGCCTCACACACAAACATAAAAATTCTTTAAATTTCTAAACTTTTCTTAATTTTTGTATCTGGAAACCAAAAAAATTGTTGGAGAGTGAGCATTACAAAAAGGATAATTAAGAAGCATATAAACACGAATTAGTCACATTTGCTTAGTAAAACTTAAAAGTAGGATCTAAGAAGAAACCGAAAGCTCTGTAACCACCACCAGCTATCATCCATGGTTTTCCCAAGTCTTCTTGAAGTTTTTTCCTCCCCCCCTCTGCTCCCATAATAGTTTAGCATTCTTCTCCTGATCATTTCTTGATCCAAGAACATTAACCGGGCCACCATCATGTTCAAGCTTTCGCCACGAAGAAACCAGAGAAGTAACGGCTTCAAGGTGAAGCACGCTCTCCAGATATGCGTCTTCGGGGGCGCTTGCGTTTGGCTGATGTATCAATTCCAGGACAAGAAAGTTCCATTCTCGTACCATCATCAAGAAAAAGCCAGCAGCAGCAGTGTCCGCCGGAGCAAGGCCACGCCGGCGGCCGGGAATCAGAACGGCTTCTCCGCCATCAAGTTGGGGAGGAAGGATCTCGATCCTCGGGGAATCGAACAAATGACCGCCGAGGATCTAAAGAACGGCGGGCAGGATGCAGAGGAAGACAAGAGCTTTGATGACGAAACCAAGATTCTCGAGGAGATCAAGGTTGACGATGAGATCAATAGTGGGAATGGAGATGAAGAGCCTGTGAGAAACCCAGAAATTCTTGACAAGAAACTGGTTTCGGGTTCGGGTTCGGGTTCAACACAAGTAGAAATGAGCCAAGAAAACAAGAAGAAGACCACAAAAAAAGCAGCAGCTTTGGGAGGAAAGGGTAATGTTACAGTAGGAGCGGTTATTGAATCTAAAGCAGACAAAAATTCCACACAAACAGAAAGTGTTGAATCCAAAGGGGAAAAGAATTCGACCCAAGCAGAAAGTGATGAGCTGCAGAAACAAGAGCTGGAGAAAACATCTTCAAATTCTACATCTGGTGGGAAAAATGAAAACCCAGTCTTGAATGAGCAGAGGTCAGATATGGGTGAGAGTTTGAAAGAGGAGATATCATCGTCGGGTGGCGTTGAATCGGCAGGTTCTGGAGAGAAAATTAACCCTTCAAACGACAATGATGATACTACTGATCCCTCAGGGGAAAACAGGGGAGGGGAGATTTCAACCTCCCAGAATGAATCTGGTTCATTGTCCACTTCAGTTCTTCAAGAAGAGACCGATGCTCGGACGGATTTGGAAACCATGCCACAGACAGAAACCAGTGGCAATGCTCTCCAAGCTACAGGGTAGTAGCAATAGAGCAGATCCACCATTTCTTTTCTTTCTTTCTTTTTATCTTCTCTTCTTTGATAGTGTTACTTGTCAATTGTCATTGCTGTTTTATTATTTTTTTCTAGCTATAACAAAAGGACCTCTGAACAGTCACATCACGGATAACACTATCGTTGTTACACACAACGAGTATATACCCGTGATTGTATCAAACATGATTTCATCCCTCAAGTCATAGTCCGATGAGAAAACAAGTACTGGAAAGCTGCCTTGTTGTGTCGTCAAATTGGGTTGTGGCATTGGCATATGAGGAACCAAAAGGAATGACATTATAGTCCAAAAGAAAAATTTACTTTATTGTTACGATTAGAACGGTTTTATGATGAAAGAGCATTGGATGATGAGATTCTTGTAGTGCTTCACATGATACAAGGCTTTAAAAATGGATTTTCCCAATGTAGCATAGTAGGAGTATAATGTTAGAAACCACCAAACATTGGCAATTTAGTGGGAGCCAATCCAAAAAGAGGCATTGTGTCGTCGCAATTTATGAAACATATTGCATGTCTGTAGTATAATATGAGTAATAATAATTACGAACACCAACGAATTCAAGCTAGTTAAGTGTCGTTCCATATATATTTATTTTCAATAAAATGAGAGTATGGCAGTAGATTCGATACAAAACAATTCACAATACAAAACAACATCTTGTTTTGGGTGCAAATGAAACGGACATGTGAAGCCACCTGACCAACCATTCATTTGTTGCAGAAGATTGGCGCATCATCAATGGTGCTTAGTCTCAAAAAGGCCGTCTGGACCTGTATTTACATAAGTTTGTCAAGTCAAATAACCAATCACTTTAGGATTATCACTAAAATGTAGCACCACAACATAACATAGAAGTGTAAGCAAGATATGGGTAAAGTCGTTATCAGTAAAAACAAAGAGAATAAATTCAGTAAAAAAGGAGGGAGGTCGAGAGTAGAACTCACCCCATGGAAACTCCTTGTTGCGGATGTGCAAATATGGGTATGCCTGTAATCAAAACATGGGTTTAAATAGGAATGATTAGAACTCAACAGACAACAAAATGGATCTCCATGTATTATGACTCTAAGGTATAGAAGAATATGTAATAGGTTTCTAAAGAAACAAACACAAGGCGGCCTCTGGGCAATGCACTAAAGCGCCTAAGTGCACTTTAGTGGGGCTTAGTCGGGGCCTAGTTAGGTTATGCGAGGCAAAAATAAGAAAAAATCAGAGTGGTCAAGATGCCTACGCCAAGAACTTAGAGCAGTAATTACGCGTAATAGAAAATACACATCTAAACAAAACTATAAATACAAGAATTGAATTCCAGTAGCAATTAAATGCAACTCTAATGTTTGAAATGATCAAAGTAAATAAAAGAAAAAAACTGAATTCCTTGAATTGCAATGTATCAAAAATGAATTGATTTGTTTGTTTTTACAAATTTGGCCTAGTCAAAAAATGAAATATTTCATTTCGCCAGTGAGAGGGCAATGAGGGTTTGAGGGTGCAGTGATGCCACAGAGTCAAGGGATGCTTAAGATCAGGCTAATTTGGTAAGTTCAATTACCTGCACAAATCCATCACCAAATTAACCCTGTTTAGGTTACATAAATTGTGTGGAATTTAATTCTTGGCTCAAACTATGTTCCAAAGCAAAGAAATGAATTCTAATTCCTGAAGGAACTCATTTCTTGCGGACTCCAAACACCATTATAGACACTAGGTTTCAATGTTATCAAGGAAATGTAACATTTGACGACACTAAAAGACAGCTTAGTAGCTCACCGGAGGCTCTTCGTAGTGGGGGTGACCCTTGGAAAGAATAGCAACAGCGAGGACAGTGCACGCAGCTATTCCTGCATAAGTAATTTTCTCCCATTTGGATGCCTCCTCTGCTCACAAAAACTCTACCAAAGTTAACTATCTTTGATATAAATAAGAACTTTTAGGGTAAAAGATAAACAGTATGGTGTAAAACATACTCCATCTCATTTGATTCTTTTCCGTTACTATTAACTCGGTCAAACTATTTTATTTTTTCTTTACACATTTTCATCTATCATTTCATAAATTAAGTCATGTAAAATAATAATTTTACAGCACATGAGTCAAACATCATAAAAGTATATAAACCATCCTGTCCAGAATCAAATGGAGGGATGGAGTTCGTCAACTCCGATCGAGCATGGGGTATGCGGAGTAAGAAAGATACCCTAAATTTGCAAACAAATGCTGAAGAGAAAGCTAAATTGAAAATCTACACTGGAAAAGAAGAACGGATCGGGCAACATAATTGGTTCTGATGAAAAAACCAGAAAGAATATTACGGAGTACAAATCTAAAACCACAGAAAAGAATCAAAACGATGAATTTGTATAGCAGAATATAAAAAATCGAAACTTACTAGCCTCGTCGTGATGGGCAGATGAGGCGAAACTCCGCTTGGAAGACGGAACTCCACGTCCAGAACCACCGCGGAGGGCGGATCGTAAGGTGGATCTCATCATCGCCGACGCCATTTTCGGTCCTCTCCCTATCTCTTCTCTCCCACAGGCGGTGAACCAGTTTTCTGTTGTTGTAAATGGTCCGGATTACAATGGGTCATATAATTTAGAAATGGGCCGAATGATTTTGCGGAGCATTTGCTACAGCATACTATTACGTACGGAGCAGTATATCTACCAAATGGCCCAATAAAAAAACACCACTAACAGTTTATACTTGAAAATTGTTTTCAAAAATACTTTCTCTTTTATTTCTTTTAATCTTTCACTAAAATACTTTCACTTTCTCTTCAAAATAAATTTTATTCATACTAATTCTAACCTACATGTTACATCATATTTTTTAAACTAATAATTTATCTATCTCATCAAAGATAAAATTAGAATGTCAATTATAAATATAGATTCCTTGTTTTCCCAATCAAAATAGAAATTTTTTGGGTGAATGGATGGAGTAGTAGAGATTCTGAAATGGCTTTTTAATATGTAAATTCTAAGTATTTTTTTTAATTTCACCTCAATTCTTAAATGATTATATAAAAAATAACTTCAATTCAACATCATAAATCAAAACAAACAATTCAAATTATAACAGAACGAATAGATATGATGTGATTGGGAAGGTAATAATTACTAGAGGTAAATATGAGACTTTAATTGAAAGTAGAATTATTTTATGGAACGGGTGAAGAGTGAAACTAGAAATGTTTTGTGAAACGGGAGTATATTAGTATTAAAATGATTTCATTTGATTTACATTGTTAGAAATTTCAAAATTTTATTTTATTTTATTAATATCTCCCTATTTACAAATTACAACACCACATAAAAAAAACTTCCCTCTCAAAGTTTTACCGGAGACAAACCTCTCGATAGCTTTGCACGGGCAAAGAGTAGTCACCACCTGTTCGGTGAAATGTCTCATAGTATGTGAACAAAAGTTTAATTTCTGATGCTACCATGGCACTCTAGAGGGTTTCTGATACACACTAAGTGACCCTGCCAATCAAGCTAATTTGGTCCCAAACCAGTCTCCTAAGTTCAAATTCAAGTTAAAATTTTATCAGTCTTTAAATACTTCTAACTTTTTTTTGCTCTTCAATCAATTGATTAAATCAATTATTACTGAGAGTTTTTGTTTTTTATGGGATTTTTATGAATTACTCCGTATCAGTCTTAATTAGTCTATTTGTTACCAATCTCTCATTGTTTGTTACCACTTTCAAGTATGTTTGAAATCGTGATTTGTGTTTGCTTGACTTTGCAATTCAAGAATTGCTAGTGTTTTATGTTCTTTTATTTCAAGTTAGTTATTGTGTACATATTAGAATAGAATTATCATGTTGATATGAAACAAAGTTTGATTTTTTTGTAATTGTATTTTAGATTTGTTGAATTCAATGTTTCAAAATTATCAATAGTTTGAGGTATTATTCCTATTTTATTTGATGTGCATAGGTAAATTATGTTTATTATTTAATATTAATTTAAATTCACTTTAAATGATTTAGGTTGTGTTCCCTAATGGTTTTCCCTCATCTCCATCTTGAAGTATGTAGTTTTTTTTTATCTATTTCCTTTTAACTTTTCTTTCTATGTTGGCATTTGAAGTACAGAGTATTTTTTTTTTCAAAAAATAATTCCTGCCTAAATGTGTTGTTTATTAATCATATGTGCATTGCTTTGGCTGCTGGAGAACAAAAGAAACGGATAGTGGTGGAACCGCAATTGAAGGAAAAAGAAATTGTTCCTAGGCGTAGAGTGCGAAATTGGAAGGCTGCTCCAGAGTCTGATGTTGCCCCTTTGGCCGTTTGTTTAACCATTTGTCTCTCATGTATTGAGAATTGCGACTAAGTGAGCCATTTTTTGTCATCATGATGAATTTGGGGTTAAGACAATCAGAAAAATACTTGGTCAATATTCAAATAAAAAAGAAGAAAGAAGACAAAGGGAAGAAGCGCCAAGAAGAATGACAGGTGAAAAAAACTTTTACCAAGTATAAATCATGTTAATAACAAAAACTTGGTTCAGTGACCATCAAGATTTTTTATCTTGGTTTAGCTCTTCGTGATATACAGTAATTCAAAGAGGTGGAGGATTTATCAATTGTTAGAGAGATAAAAACTATCAATTTTACAAACAAAACACTGTAAGACCCGTGAATCATCTCATGCTATTGCTTAGCAATGTCATTGAAACCGCCCTAATATAAAATATTTGACCAACATGCAAACAAGAATTATCTATGAATATATACGGAGTACATCAGAAACAACTGTCTTTTCTTTTGTGTCTGCAAAACACTTGGTATAGGTTTCTAATTCTGAGTACCTGAGTCTTCCAAAATATTTCACCTACACATGTATAGTGTAGGCCAGGGAACTCAATCTCTCTATATAGAGGGAAAAGAAAGGCTGAAGAGACAAAAAAAACCAATAAGTGCTGAATTACAGGTTCCACCGACCCAAACTGTACATTACATACGTACTATAGTCCCCCCAAAACGAACCTGGAGCACTAAAATCTTGAAGTTATATACTTCACCCAGCCCTTCCCCCCCAAACTTAAAAAGAAAAAACTAAACTCGTAGGATTCTGACATTAGCTTAGCAAATAGAGCAAATCATTCATTAACTAAAAGAACCAACAGCAATAACAATCTAGATTAAAGTGAACATTGTTTCCGTCCACACTCAGAAGAGAAGGGTAGCAATTTAGATGCTGAGAAGGTCGGGGGGTGGGGACTGAGGTGGCTGTGGGGCCAGCGGGTCCCTCGGAACAGCGACGGGGGGCGGTGAATCGGTGACTGCTGATTTGTCCGCTTTGATGCCGGGCAGTTTGGGCAGCTCGGTCAGCATCTGCACGACCTCGCGCATCTTCGGGCGCTCCACGGCCTGCTCTTCCACGCACAGCATTGCGACATAGAACACATGCATCGCCTCGTGTAAGGGAACGGTGGACAGCCTCGAATCAAGAACCGCGACCACCTCTTCCTTTTTCCCACCAGTAAGACTTCTAACCCATTGGACGATATCGACCCCATCCCCAAACTCCCCGACCGGCTTCTTCCCACATATCAGTTCCAGCAGCACAACCCCAAAGCTGTACACGTCGCTCTTCTCATCAACTTTGAGTGTGTATGCATACTCTGCAAGACAGCAAAAAAACAATCACACTTACTACTGTTATCTCAATTAAACTTTTATTATTCAGGGAAAAAAGAAACTTCCTTGTCAAAACAATAAATTGAAGGAATTGTCAAAAATGTACAATCAGAGTGTACTTTTTTTGGGGGTTTGCTTTGTCTGAAGGGGAGAGTTGCCTTTGAATGGCAGACATGGCAAGGCAACTCAAGCGTTTAATAACACTCATAAATGCCAACCAAACACTATCGGGCCATGTAGTTAGAAATCATTTTCATAGTCAAAATAGAGCCATATTTATTCCAGTCAGTACTCAACTGTAGAGAGGGACAGTGGTATAGATGACTTTGTGGTGGTCATGTTCAACTACTCATTGTTTACTGTAAATGCTAAGAAATAAAAATGGCAGTGACTTTACCACACCACGAATTGGCAAATTTACTGAAACTCATAAAGTCAAAGCCTCCAGCGCCCAGTACGTATTTTTTTGGAAAAGAAAACCTTTAACCAGCCAAGGTAACAATTAGGCAATTCAATGCTGTGATGTTGAAAAACTAATGTTATCCACAATGCAGTCAAATACCAGTTCATGATACCGAAGATAACAATTCAATTAAGCAAAAGATCTGTTTGATTTCAACTTTAATTATTAGGCTAATAGATGTTAAAACAATAAAATTTTACCAGTAATTTAGAATCATGGATTGATTAAAAAAATAATTTAGAATCATGGATTGATTAAAAAACAATTACCTGGTGCTATGTATCCATAGGAACCAGCAATGGCAGACATGCACTCAGATGTTCCAGAATCTTGCATGAACTTGGCAAGTCCGAAATCAGCAACATGAGCTTCATAGTTTGAGTCGAGAAGAATGTTGTTTGATTTCACGTCACGATGAAGGATCAAAGGAGAGCAGTCGTGATGGAGATAACAGAGTCCCTTTGCAGCCTCCACAGCTATCTTGTACCTTGTGTCCCAATGCAAGTGCCCACCTTTCTTGCCATGGATCATTTCACCTAAGCTCCCATTTGGCATGTACTCATAAACCAAAAGATTTGTCTCATGGTTTGAGCAGAAACCCAGTAATCTGACAATGTGTCTGTGCCGGATCCTCCCAAGAGTCTGAATTTCTGCATTGAACCCGTGATCATGTGAAGATCCGCGGCTCATAACTGGCAACCTCTTCACAGCAACTTGTTCACCATTAGGCATGAGTCCCTTGTACACTATACCCGCACCTCCTTTACCAATAATGTTGTCCTCCTTGAGGCAATCTAGAACGTCGTCACAAGTGAAATCTAAGCGCTGGAATGCAGTAAGCTTCCATGCACGAGCATTACTGGCCTTCTTCAAAGAACGGGCCTTAATGATTGCCGCAATTGCAAACACGATTGAACAGACAAGCAGCCCAACCACAAGTAGAAGCTTTAGGGAAGATGATAATCCCTCTTTGGGCCGAATTTGATTGGACCCGATAACGGTACCCGGTTTGCAAGGTCCCAAATATGGGCCACAGAGATCCGGGTTACCCAAGAATGAAGTGTAATTGAAATAACTAAACTGGCCAGTTCCAGGAACCATTCCCGAGAGATTGTTGTATGAAAAGTCCACTGAAGTTAAACTCTGCATAGAGGCAACTGGCAATGGAATGCTCCCAATTAAGTGGTTTCGGGACAGGTTCAAGTAGTTTAATATCCTCATGCTTGTAATCTCCATCGGGATTTCACCAGATAGCTGGTTCCGGCTGAGATCAACAAATGTCAGCAACTTGCATCGGCTAATCTCTGGTGCGATGGCACCAGATAGGCTGTTCAGGCTGAGATCCATCTTAGACAACTGGTGCAATTTTCCAATTTCTGCCGGAATGTGTCCAGAAAATTTGTTTCCGTCAAGAAGAAGCTTCTGGACACCAACGAAATTTCCAATGCTCTTAGGCAATGGACCTGTCAGTTGATTGTTCGAAAGGCTTATCTGCCCGAGACTGGAGGATACTGAATCCGTCTCCGGGAATGTGCCTGTGAGGAGATTGTCCTGGAGTTCAACTTGGGATATATTGGGCAAGCTCAGAAGCCCCTTAGGAATGGAACCATTGAGATAATTCTCGCCCATTCGGATTCGATTCAGCGATCGGCACTGGCCTAGAGATTCAGGAATAGGACCGAACAGGAAGTTTCCTAGAGTAATTATGGTCTGCAAGTTGTTTCCCGAACACAAATTTGGGGGTAAAGTTCCGGTCAATTTGTTAGAACTAAGGTCGAGCAGTTGAAGCTTACCGTTTTTACCCAGCTCCTGTGGAATGCTTCCGGTGAAATTGTTTTCCCATAGCTGCAGAACCTCCAATTGGGGCAAATCTCCGATGAATTCCGGTATTGATCCGTGAAGCCTATTCCGGAAGAGGTTCAGAAGAGTGAGATTTCTGAGCTCCGCAAATGTGGAGGGTATTTCACCGGAGAACATGTTGTTGGACAGATCCATGGACTTCAAGTTCCTCAGAAAACCTAGCTCCGGCGTTAACGAGCCAGTGAGACCGTTCACTTGCAGAAATAACGTGTCCAGGTTTTGCAACTTCCCCATTTCAGGAGGAATCTCGCCGGTGAGGCCGCAGTTTGCTGCATCCAAGCGAACGAGACTAGATAGGTTCCCAATTTCCGGAGGAATCCCTCCGGTGAAGGCGTTGTAGTAGCCAACGTACAGCTCTCGAAGCTTCGTGAGGTTTCCGATCTCCGGAGGAATCACGCCAACGAGCTCGTTCCCGGAAACCGCGAGATACTCCAGCATCTGAAACCGGCCGTACTCCGGCGGGATGCTACCAGTGAAGTAGTTGCCTCCGAGGTGAAGATGTCGGAGGTTCGGCAACTCATAGACCTCGACCGGGAGGTTTCCGGTCATATTATTGTTGTAGAGGTCGAGAACCTGGAGATTGCGCATGCGGGTGAGCTGCGGGGGGAACGGCCCGCCGAAGACGTTGTTGGAGAAGTTGATGTAACGGAGGTTAGGAATGAAGGAAATGGACGGAGGAACCGGACCGGAGAGCTGGTTAGAGGCAACGGAGAGGTTGCGAAGGAACCGGAGATTGCTGACGTCAGAAGAGAGGACGCCGGAGAGGTTCAGACTGGAGATATCGAGAGAGGTGACGCGACGGAAAGAGTCGCACGTGACGCCTTGCCACGTGCAGTGAGAGGTGGAGGCAAGCCAGGAGGCGAGCGTCGCCTGAGATTCATCAGTGAGCGCCGCCTTCACAGACAGCAAAGCACGGTACTCCGGCAAACTCCGCCCTTCGCCGTCGTGGACCGAGGCGGCGAAGTGGCGGAAACGCAAGTGGACGAGGAAAAACAGAACGAGAAGAAACCGCATTTTGCTCGCCTCCCTTCCGTATTGCCCACAAACTGTTTGTTAAAAAGATTGAGAAAAAGGAGAGAAAAAGAGAGGGGGGCGGAAGGTGGAGGGCGCGTGGTGGCAGTTTCAGGGGGCAGACGGAAGGGCTTGTTTATTCCAATGATGAAGGGGTTCCGTTTGAATTTGAAATAAATGAAGGGTTTTTCTGCTAAATAAAATTCGAATAATTTCTTGAATGAGTATAAAACTACTACTATTGCTTTTGCCTCCTGGCCCAGCCTGAGGACCCCTCAACTTTTCTTATCTTTGGAATGACCCCTATCTTTATTGGAAAAAAAAAGTTTGAAAGTTTTTGGAGTTGGACACCCCTTTAGATGTGTAAAGGGCCAAAAAAATCTGAAGAAAGAGAGGAAAAATAATATACTCCCTTAATTTATTCTAAAATTCTACCCATTCGCCCCAAAAATATGGCACAGTTACTATGTCGCATTTTATATAAATAATTTTTAATATATTTTAAAGAGTTAATTTATACCTTTTATTCCTCTATCAATTTGTAAAAAAGTAATTTTAAAAAAAATAATATTTTACAAGTTGTTCGAAATGTTATGAACAATTTGAGAGGGAGGAAGGGAGTATAAAATATGTATAGAACTATGTGGTGAAATCTCTCTAAACCATAACCATAACATGTATGCGTGATTGGTGACAATATTCAATCAACCCTTTGAAAATTTATAAATGTTTATCCCCTTACATAAAAAGGCACTGGTTTTGGGGTTTTTGGTTTAGGTGATTTGTTACCATCACTACTAAACATACTCCAAAATTAACATGACATAGTGGTTGTAGACTTATAGAGAGGGATGAGTGGATTAGACACACATCTCATCCTCCAAAATTGCCATACCAAAAAGTACAAAAATTATGGAGATAATAAAATTATCAAAGACCTTTGTGATCCAATAAGACAAGTTATCAAGTCAATTTTTAATAATAGTAATACTTTTTGTGTTTCAATATATTAAGAAAGTATGAATAAATACGGAGTAGTTATTAGTAAAAAATATTAATTGAATAGAATTTGTTGCTATTTTTGAAAAATAAGATTCAAATGATTGATTAGAATATGGTTCTCAAATGCTGAAACAAATTCGAATTAAATAAATACTCTTTTCGTCCCAAAATAATTTTCATGTTATATCTTTCTATGTAGTTTTAAAATATATAGTGCGTACATTTTATTTTTGTAAAAATTTATAAGTAAATAATTTTAAAAGAGATATTGTTTTATACATTATTTAAACGTGAAACGATTATTTTAAGATTGAGGGAGCATAACACTTTGTTAGTAACTCAAAAAAAATACTTGACTCTAAAATCATTCTCCCTAAATTGTAGAATTTAAAGTATTTAAGAATTCAAAACAGATAACCATTGTATGATTAGATGTAGATAAAGATGCTCATGCTTTTGTGAATTTGAATCTAATTCTAAAACAAATGAATTTTAAAAGAAATAAATTTATTGGTCTATAAAGTAGAGTAATAAGTTAAATAAAAAAAAGTGGATCCTTGTGAAATGAATTGGACTAATAATAGATGTGGGGTCAATTTTTCCCAAAGCATTCCACTAATGTCATTGTCCAAGATGCTTTGTTACCTATTTTAAGTAACTATTACTGTACCACAAATTCTAACATCTAGGTAATTAATGAACTCCATTTTCATCCCAAATTAGAATGTTGTCATTTAGGCAAATCTCTTTTGGCTTGTATTACTATTTGTGAGCCATTTATTTTATTCCATGTATTAATTAAAAGCATTAATTAACATGAAATTTTTTCATAAATCGTTTGTCTAATTTTGGTTATCATAAATGCATGTATAAGAAATGTTTGAGAATATATGCCTTCAATAATATTAATCCTAGAAGTGTGAGAGTGACAGCCAAACAAGACTTAAGAGTGACTGGCTGAGTGGAGCGCGTTGACTGATAATAAAAAAGAATCTGATGGCCATCAAACAATAAGCGGAAACTATGGGGACTGATTTGCAAGGATTGAAAGTGTGAAAAGAACGGAAAAGCAGATGAAAGGGACGGAAAAGACGAAAAAAGGAGGGGCGGTCCAGGGAAATAAGCTGAAACTGCGGGGCACTTTGCTAAAATTGCGTCCATGCAGACATCGTGACAATGTAAGCACAACCTAAACATGTAATGTTCACTTTTTCTATCTAAATTAAACATAGAAAATCCTTATTTTAAAAAAATTACAGCTTTCTCATTAACATTAAGATCAAATTTGTTTGGTGAAGGCAAAAAAAAATTGGTATCCAAAGATATTAAATTCTTTTTGTAAGTATTTGGTAAGGGCAGATCTGTATTAAATTATTTAACACCAAAACTAAAAAATATACTTTATTTATATGGTTTTAAAGAAATTAACAAATTAAAATAGTACTTTTAGGCTTTAGTAAAAGTACGCATTCCCCGATCATTTTATTACCCCCATGTCCCTAAAAAATTACCATTGTTTAATTTTTTGGTCAAATTAAGATAATTTTTTACTACGAATCCAATAAAAATACTCCCTCGGTTCTACAAAACTCTTCTTCTTTCGTTTTTTTTGCTTTTCACAAAATACTTCCACTTTCTATTAAAAAACCACTTTTACCCCTACTTTTTCATACCCTATCTATCACATCATACTTTTTCACTAATAACCAAACTATCACATCTTACTTTTTCCCATCACATCAGGGCAAAATTGGAAAGTCAACCAAAATTACACTTTCCTTATTTTTCTCCAAAGTCAAAACCGGAAGGGTTTTGTGGAACGTAGGGAGTAAGTAATATGTAAAAAAAAGTTAAGGAGAACATGCCGCAAAAGAGATATTTTTGTGTCAATTCTCTAAAACTACTTTTGAACGGATAGGTAAAAGTAGGATGAGATAGATAAATAATTAGTAAAAAAGTATGAAATAATAAGTGAGGCAATAATTAAAAGAAAATAAAAGTAAATTTTTAAGAGGAAGAGAAAAGAGTTTGGCCTGCGGAAAAAAAGTTTGAGAAACAAATGAAATATCTTCTGACTTCATGAACTATATATCATACTCCCTCCATTCCTAAATAAAATTTCATTTTTGACTTTTTGAAGATCTAAGGAAGAGATATTTTTATATTGACTTTCTAAAAATATTCCTGATGTGATGTGTAAAAGTAAAATGTGATAGGTTGGGTATGAAAAAGTCTGCTTCATCCATTACTCACAATAATCCACCTAAATGCCTCCTTAACTGCATTAATCTTTGCTTCACGTGGCTTTTCGTTTTTGTTTTGGCATTTTGACTTGAGTAATTTTACATATTCCATTTTCTTTTTTTAATTTTGAAGGAAACGTTCCAGATTTAACTGAAGTGAAGTGTTTACCGAGCATTCGGTATTTTTAATTTATTCCACCTAGGGCTAGAGAAAGTTGGTCAAAATCACAAAGTTGACTATAGAGTGTGAAAACAAAGCATCGTGTCCGGGAACAATTTGTTTCCCTCCCTTAATGTTTTCAATCCAACTCTGATTGTGATTCTAAAATCATACTTTCAATCTCTCTCATGAAAATATTACTTCCTCCGTCCTAAAACTTTCTTTCCGTTGCGCAAAACGAAGAAAAATCCCAAGTTTTTCAATCTATTTTATTTAAATACTCGTATAGAAATAAAACATAAAACATACATATTTAAAAACTACATTAAAAGTTCAACAAAACAAGTGGTGACAAAAATATTTTATTTTATCATATAGGCCATGAAAAAACACAAATAAATACAAATTCCCGTGAAGTTGTAATAATATTCTGGGAAGAAAGTTTTAGGACGGAGGGAGTAACTATGTTGAAAATGCAACTTTTTTTATGAGACGGAAGAAATATAAAATAACATCTCTCATTATTTGCTACGTACTCTTTTATTTTTCCTATAGAACTACTAGTCCCTTCCGTTTTAAAAAATCAGACCAGGATAATTTTTTGAATTAGAATGTTTGGTTAAATTTATTATCAATTTAATACCCGTATCTTAGAAAATTGTTTTAAAGTTTAAAAAAAAAATTACGCTTTTAAAATTAGATAAATATTTCTAAAAAACAAAAATAACCGGTGATTTGATTTTGGGATGGTAAAAATAAATAAGGTGAAATAAGGGGGAGCCTATATATGTTGTGTTGCACCTATAAAATTTTATTCTCTGCAGGCAATAATAGGGTGGGGTGGGAGGAGGGAGGGGCACTTAAACGGCATAAAACGACAAGCACTGTAAGGGACCATTCATTTTCTTCTTCTTTCCATCCTTATGAGTCGTGTCTTGTCTGAAAAAAAAAGAAGAAAAATATTCAAATCAAACCACTCCTTCAATCGGAGTTAAGGGTGGGCACGGTACGGTTCCGGGACGATTCCGGTTCCGGAACCGCCGGTTCCGGTACCGCCACCCCTTGGTACCGGTACCGGTACCGGACCGGCCGGTACCGGTTCCGGTTCCGGTACCGCCGGTTCCAGTACCGTTTCCGGTACCGTTTCGGCCACCCATAATTTTGTTTTTTTTTTTGCTTTTTTATTATATTTTTAAAATGTAAAATTGTAAATGTGTAATTGTTAAAGAAAATGATGAAATAAAAAAATCTAAAAATGAAATTGATAAAGGAAAGAATGAAATAAAAAAAATAAATAAATAAAATAACGGTACCAGAACCGGAACCGGAACCGCCGGTGCCGGTACCGAAAAATGGGCACGGGAACCGTACCGGATTGGGCGGTACCGGTACCGGTTCCCGGAACCGGTGGACCGTACCGGCCGACGGTAACGGTACCGGAACCGGCGGTACCGTTTCCGGTACCGGTACTGTACCGGTACCGTGTCCACCCCTAATCGGAGTATATAAATATAATCGAAGCTACAGTTGCCTTGACTTATTTTTTGCCATTTATGGCCTTGACCACGGAAGCCAGTGTCTCAATTTGGAGACGGTGCTCTGCTCTCTGAAAGGATGCTTCTTGCCCTCTAATTCTTCGGTAAATTGAGGTTGAGGTTGTGATTGGATGAAATTAAGAAAGAATGAACCATTAATTTTGCAAACGAAATACCGTAGATGTCACAATTGGACAGTTTCATCCATGGTCACTCCCTTTGAGTGGCCATAGAATGACTTTACAAGTTTTAAAATATTACTCCCTCCGTCCCAAAAAAATCCTTTACGTTTCAAAAAAATCGTGTCCCTAAAAGTCTTTCTCATTTCCATTAAAAACCACTTTACTTTTTCATATCCGGCATATCACATCATACCTTTTTTCTAATAATCTACATATCACATCTTACTTTACCCATCACTTCTTCAAAGGGTGTTTTTGAAAAATCAACACAGATTTATCCTTCCCTTATTTGGCCACTTTAGTCTATATGTCCTTATCTTTATGGGACGGGGGAAATATTATATAATCAATTAGATTCGATATTTTAGTAAAATTAAATTTAAGAATCTTGCAGTCAAATACTAAATTATATTCTACCTTCAAAAAACTAAATTCTAATTTTTAGAATTTTTATAAAATTATTACTTGTGCAATCTTCAAATTTCCGTTAAAATTAAGTGGAAAAAAACATGTCCTAATTTCAATTTCCAAAACAGCAAATACAGGTACTAAACTTTAAATGATGTAGGGAAAGTAAAACGAATGTAAAGTTGTAAACAACAAATTTAGAAAAATGAAAAGGAGACTGTTTTTTTGAACTAATACAAAAAAAAGTTATTATTTCGTGACAAAGAGAATATATTTTAATTTTAGTACGGAGTATTTGAATTTCTTTACTCAAAAATCGACATACTAATGTTTTAGACGAAAGAGCCACGAGAGGAAGCAAGAAAATACGAAATGTGTTTTACTGTTTCGTGTGTGAATGAGTCAAATTTATTTTATTTATTTATTTTTGAAGAAGTTGCGTTTATCAAGCTTCAGGTCAAAAAAAAAGCAATTCCACTATATTCTTTTTTTTTTGCGAACAAAAAGCAATTCCACTTATATTTGAGCATAGTTGTAGTTTTCAAATTTTCATTTCCATTAGACATTTAGAATACTCTATCCGTCCCTCAAAACCGTTTCAGGTATACTTAGACACGAATACTAAGAAAGATAACATTATTCTGTTGAAATTGGTGCATGGGAGAAATTAAAAAAATAAAATGAACCTCAAACACATTTTCAATAGTTAAAAGTGAAATATTTTTTTTAAGACAGATGAAAGATTAAATGTAAAACCTTTTCGTAAAAAACTTGAAGTATATTATACTCCATAAAAGTATACACTTGGAATCTAATTGAATACGATTGTAAAAAGGGAAAGTTATCTCAAATAATCTTACTTTTTCACGATCTTTCTAAAATCATTCCGATTTTCATTGTAATTGGAAATAATCCAATTTTTTCGCACGTGTACGAGTTTTGAGTCGCCGTTAAAAAGCTAACAGTTACTTAAAGGAAAAATTTGGAAAATACTTGGTTCTCGCTAATAAATGATAGCTGAGATTATTTTAGGTAAATTCTCTTTCAATCATTTTTTTAATTTCTAACATTATATTTAAATGTATTTTTAAAAAAATGTTTCTATAATTCATTCTCCACCAAATTTACGTGTTTTTTAGAGTGAAATTAATTATTTTTTAAATGATTGATTATCTGGTAATAATGGAAGATTAAATTATTCTACACAATGGAGCTAATTTATTAACTTTATAAATCACTACACTTTTTTTGTAATTTGCAATTATTTTTCTTAAGCGACACTTCGAATTAGTTTTTGATACTATACGATTATTATTTTTTAAAAAATGATACTACAAAACTTGTGAATATTTTTTCGACTATTCTATATAATGTTTTATGCAAAACAACATTATAAAAATTGTGAAAATAATACAATATTTTTTTCTCTGAAATGAAACTTTTATTTTTATAACTCCCTACATTTATGTTGTATTGTAATTTTTATGGACAACACTCCGAAATGTTTATTGATAATGTTCTATTACTCGTATTATTTTTTCTTAAATCGAACTACCCAACTTGTGATTTTTTTGATAATTCATTACAAAAATTTTCCTACAAAAACAATTCAAAAGTTGTGAAAATGGCACAATGTTTTTTCTCTAAAAAGGCACTAATTAATTTTTTAACTCACTACAATTTTTTTGTATTGCAATTTATTTTTCGAGCGATTCCCTGAATTATTTTTCGAATCGAAACATATATTTCCCCCAGAACATAAAACAAAATTTGTAAATCGTTATATTTTTAAAAAAATTGAGACAAATCTCAGACAAGAGTGTCATGTTATATTTTTGAAAACATAAATTTTAAAATAAAAAAAAAAGTAATTTTGCCTAAAATAATCTTATCTTTCATTTATTAGCGAAACACAGACATTAAACGTGAAAAGATTATTTAAAACAATTTTTCCTTGAATAATATGGTGGGAAAGTTTCGGAAGATACAAAATTCATGTTTTCATAAAGACAAAAGTGTAAAAAATTGAGTGAGAAGTGTGAAATATTGCACAGTCAATGCATATTAAGGGTCCGTTTGGTATACGGAATTGATGGAATTGGAATTGAAATTCCATGGATTCAATTCCATAGAATTGAATTCTGCTAATTCCAATTCATTTTTTGCACTATCAATTCCAAATCCACATAATTTTTGTGCTACCAAACACCAGAATTGGAATTGAAATCCTCAATTCCAATTCCATAGTTTGAATTTCGTGTACCAAACGGGGTCTAAGTGAATGAAAAAGGAGTAACTCCCATCTGTCACGAATCTTGAGGATGCAGCTACAACACTAGAAAAAAGTATAGAGATAATTTCATAATTAAATTACAATAAATTATCATTATTTTGCATGTGGAGGTTATGAATCTTATGATGAATTTCATCACGGGTTACACAAGCTAGGCATTATTATTAATTTAGATTAAAAGACAAGAGGCTGTAGTGGTGGACTGGTGCTTAAAGCTAAGCTTGCCTGCTCCATTGCTTTCTATTTTTTCTTTTTTTCTTTTTGGGGAATTTACACTTTTATTATGAATCAAATGTCACTCTTCAAGTCATTGTTCGAAACTTATGAATTTACACACTATCTCTCAAATTTGTCATTCACTTTTTCATACTCTCATTTAATTTAAAGAAATGAATTGAAAATATTAAATAGCCTTCCAAGTTCCAATGAGTTTCTTATCATTAGTGTCAACAATATAATGCACATAACTCATTTCTAGAACATTGTACACAATTTTTTCATAATTTCTAATGGAAAATTGACAACTAATTATGGATAAATAAGAACTAGAATGTGAACAATGAATTTTGGACGGAGGGAGTATAACTAATGTGTCAGTTGAGTTTTTTTTTTTTTTTTTTGCATTTTTCCCCCAAAGAAATTAATCTCCTACTATACACATAATTTGTCCACATTTTCATGCTCCAAAAGAAATGCATTTTCAAGTGTCATCAATTTCACATCAATACCACGGATGTGGACGTAATCCAAGCCAGAAGGAACAGAACCTTTTAGCCACCTCTATATATCTTAGATGATAACAATTAAGTTAAACCTAATTGAAAAGATAAATTAGATAGTGAAAAAAACTTTACAAAACCCCAAAATATGCAAATGGTCCCAAAATACTTGCCAATGACCTAAAATACGCTATTGAAGGGAGACCACACACAGATTGGATTACTACAAAGTGTACTGCAAAAGTTAAAGCTTTGCCATTCATGGTTCAAAAACCATCACAGAACCATTGGCTTGTTTTTTACACGAGAGACGACAGTGCTGAACCCACTTTTGCATTTTAAAACTTTCTCTGTTTTAGGAATACGAATTAGTGACCCACTCAGAGTTCATCACTCATGCAACTTAAGCTTCCTTTGTTAGCGTTTTAGATAATTTTTTTAATGATTCAAACTAAACTGATAAACTCTAACACCAAAGACTACCGTTGCGCAACGTTTTCAAAACGCGGAAACTATTTAATTATTCAAATTTGAGGGTTGGGAATGCAAAGCGGCTAGAAAAACTGCCCCTGCACCGGAGCCGCCATGCGAATGCTCGAGTATGACATTGTCAGAAAGCTCATTTCCTAGCATCTCCCACACAGAGCCGTTGAGATAGCTTCGGAACACCCGATAATGCTCATACAGTCCACCATCCACTGTGACTATGCTTATTCTCTTATCCAGTCTCTCCAGCTTGTTTAGTATTCCAATAACCCCGGCTCCCACCAAACGTGCTGCACGCTGAGCCACAATGTCACATATGTCTGAAACTATTGCCCTTGATACCGGATCAGAATTTGTGATCTGAAATCAGAAAAAGACACAGTATGTTAATAGGTCCCGATTTTGGCCAACGTCTTGAGCTCTAGATTTAAAGTAGTTGGATAGACATTTGAGTCTTAGTTTGTAATTTATGATGGTGTATAGTGTATTTTCCACCTTAGTTTGTATCTTGCGCATGTGAATATTTTGTGCTTTGCCTTTAGTTGTTAGTGTCGGTACGAGTGCTTTTTGTATTGGTGTTTTTATTTTGTTTGTGTTACTATGTTTAAGCTGGGACGGCTCTAGAAAACAATCTATCTACATTCGAGTAGGGGTAAGGTATGTCTACACACATACTGCCCAAACCGTACTTTTTGTGGGATTTTATTGATTCCGTACTTTGTTGTTCTTGTTGCGGTTTGACTCTTGTGAATTATGGTGCATAGGAATGTAACTTGCATCAAAACTATTGATAGAACAAAGGGTTACCTCAAAAATCTCTTTTAGTTTTTCACTAATCACTTCATAGTCCTCCGACATGTCCTGATGCATTGCAGCCATATCAGGTGACCTGAAACATACATACATACATAGTCAGTTAAATTAGCCTCTGATGAAATGTTTTGACTGAGTATCTTGGAAAAACAAGCTGCCAAAAGGGCACTGAGATAAGAAATTATATTTCATACAAAACAGAAAGAGATGGAATTGCGCACATTTTACCTCAACAAGTAGGGAACAGATAGTTTAGGGGGCACAATGTCTCCAAACAAACATGTCTCTCGTGCTATTTTAAGCAACACTCTTCTAACAATCTCTCCTAAATACATACCTGAAATCAGCTTCTCGAATCTCTGGAACCCAAAACACGTGTTTAGAAACGAATCAACTGGTGGTGATCATATGGGAAGAGAAAACAAAAAACCACAGAAAAGAGATATTCTCACCCTGCAACCAGGATTTGAACTCTCAGTGTCTAAAGAAAGATCAAACTCTGTAACTGGAAGATTGCTGGAATAGAAGTTTCCCCATTGCATATCGACAACCTGAGGTCACCGCAGTTAAAAAAAACTCCGCATCAACGAGCAGTTCTTAAAAAAAATTAAAAATTGTAAAAGTAGTACTGAATTTGATTTTTTGGCTCACAGTTTCACTAAATTTATGAGGCTTTCCGAAAGGCCATTTTTCTACTGCACTAGAAGATTCTACATACGCAGCATTGGTGCCCATTCCTAGAGTAACAGCTGTCACGCTTTCTTGACTGTAGTATCTCCCTCCGGCCAAAACTCCAATTGTGTCATCAACCTGTACAAATTTTTAAACATATATGTGCCCAAAGCCTTGTTTGGCATAATGTGGAAGTAGCTGGGAATGTTAGACCACGAAACTTACCAATGCAAGAACTCGCAAATCCACACCATGCTTTTCCAAACATTCGTTGATTTCATTCACATACACTTCCTTTGCCTGATTAGGGAGTATTCCTTACTAAGTCAGCCAAGTCGTATAGCCTTTGAAATGTTTTCAATGCAATGGAACTTAGTCCGGTTTGGCACCACAATTTTTTTGGTTATCAAGTATCAACCTTATAAGACAGATGTTCTATCTGACACTAACTTAATTGAAGCAAAAGTTACTCCTGGGCTAAGATGACTGATATAATCCTATAACGATAAATGATCATTTGCCCCTCATTTTTCATACTATTTCCTTGATTATATAAAAAACGGTGGATGCTTACTACGGAGTACAATTTTATATGATCAGCCCGCAAATTCAGGGAAAACTTCAGCAAAAGTTTAGGCAACTCAAGTCCATTCAAGCAATAATTATATGAAATTTAGGCAATTTCATCAATAGTTTAGAGATTTGCAGTTTGAAGCAATGTAATAGACTTGGAGACAGACTATGAGCAGGCAGAGCAGCAAATTATTGTTAGCATGAACCTTGGATAAAAATTTTAGGGAGCGGGGTTCAGAACTTAACTGCGTCACCTATTGATGAACCATTCACTCTGATGGCAGCTTCCATGGAGGCCGAAGCTTCCACAACTGGAAGCTGTGATATGGTGAATCCAAGTTTTCTATGGCCTTGCCCATTCCTGGTGCTCTCGCCATGCATTGTCATGAATTTCGCTAGTTCCAGACCAATCAAGTCAAATAAATCCTGAAAACAAGCACACCTAATAAGGGCTGGGAAGTTGTAAACGAACAATTGAATGTTCTGAGAAAAACAAATTGATCGACTGAAAATACCTTGGAAGTGCCATTGATTACATCCATGGGGATTGTAATTTCCTGTCTGGACAATTCTGTTACTGGTTCGTTCTTTCCCCCCAGTTTTGCTTGCAAAATCAAGAAATTATCTCCGCGAAGGTTTATCCCGTAATGCAATCCCTTCTCCTCTCTGTAACAAAGCGCAATTAGATGCGAATTGACAATCTAACACGCGCTTCGAATTTGGGGACGAAGCTCAAATTAAGAGGGAGAGAGTAGAACGTACCCGGTGGGAAGTGAAGCAACGTCGCATGGAAGCATTTGGAGGCCGCCGCATTTCCGATCGGGAGGCGAGAGGGAGTTCCGCATATCGGAAACGACGTCGTCAGCGATGCTCCGAAGCTTCTGGACGGGAGTGGCGCAGTCCCTGGCGAATTTCCGGAGAATGCGGTGCGCGTGCCTCCGCCGCCGCTCGCTCCGCCGATTGAAGCTCCGCACGGAAAGCGTTAGCGCGACGACGGTGGAAACCGTCGTCACCGCAGCCAAAACCACCACGACCTTTCTCGTCTCCATCTCTTTTCTTCTTCTTCTTCGTTTTTCTATTGAATTTAGTAAGCGGCTCAAAAATGTTTCGTCTTCTACTCATCTTGCGCAGATCGATCAAAACTGTCCTTCAACAGAATCGCGACATTTACTGCACCTGAGAACGGGTTTCATGGTGAACACGAAGAATGTGGAACCATGCATTTCCCTCCCTTCTGTGTTGCTTGTGCGGAAAGGATGGGCCGTTCGGCAGATCAATCCATATATCTGAATTGGGTACGTCAAATCTCCTCTTAGCCCAAGTATATATGGGCCAATTTCGCTTATCAAAAGATTCCATAATTCCCAATAGGCCCAAATGTTAATGGCTTAATTTGGATTGTCCACACTAAAACCAACCTGGTATGGTGCCCCTACACTATGTTTGATTTAAGAAAATTAAAATGAGATTTTTTATAACTAATTTTTATTACAATGTAGAATCTTTTCATACATTCTCAACCTATTAAAGCTCGTAGATTTACTACCCGCATCGGGAATCGAAATGTGTTCTCTCATTTAGGAGAGTCATAGCAATGTCATTGTACTACAAAGTCATTGGCAGAAAACTAAAATAAGAGAAAAAAATGTTCTTGTGCAGTTGCATAGGAAAACAAAAGAAGATTAGAAGGAAAAATAAAAAAAATGTACAAAGAAGATGGAAAACGTCGTATCTCTCATTTTTGTGTGGAAAATGAGAGGAATTCTTTTCTTTTTCATACATATTCTTTCAACCAAACATAGTGCTAAGGTTTGGGGGTATAAACATTTCATATAGTTTTTCTCTCTTTAAAAAATTTTAAAAAAATACTTGTACTTACAGCAAACAAATGCTTACAAACAGTTTAGATGCAGCATATAATTTGTCGACCTCTATTCGTTTCATTAAAGCTTATGTAAAACACTATCTTGCAATAATACTTAACTTTTACATTTCTAAAATTAGTCTGCACTTTTAAAAATAATTTAAAAGGAATGATTACAACCCTAAGTGAATGTCAAATGTGTACCATCCTACATTCCTAACCCTACGTCTCAACATCGTCACAAAAATGGTGTGTATGGGTTGTTTCAACTACTTCAAAGTGATGATATAAAAAAGTGAAATGTAAAAGAAACCATTCTTTTCTTGGCTAACGCATGGAATGCTAACGATTCATCAATGGTCTTGGCTGAGTGACACATTTGCACTTCTGCTTTTGATGTGTTGCCCCCAACTTTCTATGATCCTTTAAGTCATCAGCTCAAGATTTCTTGTTAAAAACGAAAGTTGTAGTTTGGACTTTGGAACAAAGAAAATGTTTGGGGAACGGGAACCTAGTCAGCCCACAAACATTCAATGTTTGTGGCTCTATGTGTACTATTTTTGCTTTGATATACATTTGGTGTACCACAAGTGAGGTTTCCCTAGCACTCTCCAAAATAGTTTTGATAACTTTGGGCAACTCATACTCTCTCAAAGTCTCATGTAGACTCTACTTAGGATGCACGGTAAACCTTGTTTGATGTCAAATATTGTTTATGTGGTGATTTAGCTAAGAAGGTAACATGACATCTCCTCTTTTGGTACAAAAAACAAATTGGTAAATGAAGTGTATGACTTTACCGAACATATCGGATCGATGAATATATTTATTCTAGCTAAAAACGTTAACATTATTACATATCCATTTACCCATTATATTTAATTTCATTTAACTCATTTGTAATGTTAATTCAACTTAATACAATTTAATAGTTTTAATTACTAACCTTATTAAGTTTCAATAACTTGGTAAATTTAAGTAATTATATGAATGAAATAAGTTGAATGGTGTGTTTGGGAACTTGAATTTGGATTTCAAATTTAAATTTGATCCAAATTACTTGTTTGGGAACACAAAGAATTTGGATTTGGATTTGGACCAAATTCTTTTAATTCAAAACTAACTCAACTACAAATCCACATCCCTCACCATGTCATTTACAAATTCAAATTAAACTTTTCTTTAATTTAAAACTCGTAATTAAAAATTGATCTTCTCTTCTTATATAATAACAATTGCATACCCGCTTTCATTATCGATTTTGCCGATTTCAAAATTCAAATTCTAGAATTGAAATTCTATGACTTTTCAAACATCATTTAGAATTTCAAATTATGGAATTTCAAATCTTAGAATTGAAATCTAATATTTAAATGAAATCTAGTTCCCAAACACTACCTTATTTTTTTCAATCTTTAAACTAAGTCATACTCTTTCCGTCCCAAAAAGTCTTCCCTGTTTCATTTTTTGCGCATCACATAAAACACTTCTACCGACATCTAAAATGCCTAAAATTTACAACATTTCTTCTTTATTGTGGGTAGAAGTTATTTTGAAAGTTTTTTTTGGCATTCAAGGCGGGATAGAAGTGTTTTATGAGATGCGCAAAAATTGAAACAGGAAAGACTTTTTGGGACGGAGGGAGTACAAGTATATTTTTATACATTTTTGTCATGACTTTATGTTTAGTCATTTTTTACATGGCATCGCGCGAGTAAAAATATTATTTTAATTTATAATATATTTTGGAATTAATATTTTAAAAAATATATTTTATAATCCGTAGTATTTGTTTATGTTAATTATTTGCTAGAGTTAATTTTTTTTAAAAAACTATTGTGGTAAGTTGGCGAATTAACGTATGTAGACCCCCATTTATAGTAAAAGAGGTATGCAATTAGTATAGGAAAAATTCACATCATTACTCCCAGAATAATACAACTTTATATAAATACTCCGAAATTTAATTAATGACATCAATACTCCCAAAATTTTTATATGTTCACATCGATACTCTAAGAATTTATTTATGTTTATATCTATGCTCCAAATGTTGGGGCACCGATGTAAACATATTTCAATGTTGGAGTATTGATGTAAACATACAAAAACTCTGGGAGCATGAGTGTCATTTATTAAATCTCGGAGTATTTATGTAAAATTATGCAATTTTGGGAGTAATGATGTGAATTTTTCCATTAGTATATTCTAATGTGGCGCGCTAAGGTAGAGAAGAGAGATGCTGCACTATTAAAGTATGAAAGACATGTATACCCTCTATGTTAATTGACTCCCTTCTACTAGAGTATGTAATTGCAAGCATGCAGCCAAAAATACTACTTCTTCTCTCCACTTTAACTTTTATGTAGATTATTTATAAGGTAAAACTTTATATATTTTGTTTTCCTATTTTCGTAACTCATTTGATAATGTAATATAATCATGTCACCTCTAATTTTGTAGACGTTTTGATGTAGTTTGTTAATATATTATTTCTATTTTTAATTTTACACCCACAATCAAATAAATTGAATTGAAAATAAAGTTGGTCAGACATCGTAACGCGGACGGAAAGATTCAAATGGGATAGAGGGAGTTATTAAGACAGAAATTAAAGGTTAATTCGGAATTCTGATTCCTCCCTCAAACATCAACACATTCGACCGACTTCAACCATCTCCCATCGTCGGTCACACACCATTTGTCTAAAACTAACATTCATATCATATTTAAGATCTTTCAAAAAATTTTATTTTTTATTTTAGTTCTCATATCATTTCAGACAGATTTTAGAACTTAAATAAGAGCACTGGGTATGGGTGTAACGCCCACCGGCGTTAGGGGCATTTTAACGCCCCGGGGGCGTTAAACACACCACCCCCGGCGGCGTTACCCGGGCATCACATGCCCTGCGTCAAAGGAATGACGCTTCGTCATTCTCCTCTTCTCCCCCCTTTAACGGCTATAATAGCCGTTGGACTAAAAAAAATTCTTATAAATTCAAACCCCCCACCTCCCAATCTCTCACACCTTCCTTCTTCACTATTCTTCAATCTTCTTCTTCCCAAATTTTAAATTTTGAAATCACCCCCTCTCTTTTCAACATGAATCCTTCCGGCTCCGGCTTCTTTCCCGACAATCTCGCGCCAAGCGACGCCGCGATGTGGTATTACCAAGAGTTAGGCGATCAACCGCCGATCTACGAGACACAACAATCGGGGTACGTCGAGCGAGATTCAGTTCCGGAGACTCAACCAGAACCGACCGGGTCGAAAAAAAGTACACGCCGGAAAAGCCACAAAGCCAAAGGCACGATGACCAAGGCGGCACGGTCAATCCAAAAGTAGACGCCGGAGGAGGAGTGCTTATTGGCGTCGGCTTGGGTTGACGTCTCCGAGCATCCTATCATTGGTAAAAATTTTATTTTTTCTAATATATTTATAATTTTATTTATATATATTATATTTAAATGTGTCTAAAAAAATTGTGTTATACATTTTTAAAGGTTCGGAGCAAACGAAGGATGCGATGTGGGATCGTATCGAGGAGAAGTTCTTCACGGCGATGAACAAGGACGGCTCCTACCGAACCCGGAACCAACTCACTTCCAAATGGAGCCACATCAACCGTAAAGTCCGAAAGTTTATCGGAGTTTATGAGGAATGCTCCCGGTCCCAGAGGAGCAGGACGAACGACATCGATGTTCTCCGGCTTGCCACGGCTCGGTATCAAGACGGCGTGCACCAAGACAAGGTGTCCATCGATATTTGGAGGATTTTGAGCCGTTCCCCAAAGTGGCAACAACTCAACAATCCCGACGGTGGATCGTTCCATAAAAGATCCCCCGTCGACGCCGAGGTTGAGGTCGACGACACTATCGGTTCGTCCGATCAAATCCCTCCCTTCAACGTTGCGGATTCCGATGAAGAGGACCCCATTCCACGGCCAATTGGAAGAAAGAAGGCAAAATCCATTGCCTCGGGTTTGGGAGGATCTGGCTCTGTTTCCGTTTCTTCCTGCGACGAAATCGGCCGGGAAATGGTTGAACAACTTCAGACGTTCAATCTCCGAGAACAAGAGTGGTTGAAGCTAAAGGAGAAGGAGTTGAAGCTAAAGGACCAAGAGGCCGAGATGAAAGTCATGGAAACCGACCTTTCAATATAATTAAATAATAAATTAATTATATTTTATTAATTTAATTTTAGAAGATGTATATTTAAAAATGTAAAAAATGAAGGTTTGAAGCACCAGTTTGAAGTCCCGGGGCTTCAAATCTATTTCCAGTGAATTTTAGATGTAAGTTAAAGCTGACGTGGTAGAGAGAGAAAGTTTGAAGCCCCGGTTTGAAGCCCCGGAGCTTCAAACGTATTTCCAGTGCCCTAATGATATCAACTCGATTTCGCTAATCCCAAAAAGGACCCTTAAATAAGTACTCCGTATAACTTTTTAGTCGTTTGATGAAAAAAACATTGATTTTAGACATGTACCATTGGAAGACTCACTCCCTTCCTCCCAATTTATTTGGCCTAGTTTAAGACTATTGGATTATAACATTTGTTTGATTCAATAAAACAATATGTCACTAGCTACTTGTTTTATACCGGAGTATAATTTTTTATTTACTTAATTTTAAAAGATGTATGTTATATCTTTTAATTTTATGTCAAATTGTAAATATAATACATAAAAATAAGAGGGAATATGTTAACATTATTGGTATTGTAAGTTTTATTTTAGAGATCAAAACTTGAATGTCATATTTTGGTTCTTTTATTATATTTTACTCTTATTTTATTTTGTTTTCTATAATTTTTGTTTTGGTTACACACTAGTTTTCAAATGAATTAAACTAATAAAAATTTATTTCAAACATTTTAAATCAAATATTTTTTTCTAGAGAAGAATATTGATCATTTTTGTACAAAGCCCAATAAATTTGGGCCGTTTACATGTGGCGCCAAATTAATCTTATTTCACCAATTCGGGCTAAATCTTAGCCCAATAAGTCCTGCTTTCTACAATGATCTCCATACTTCGTCTCCGGCCTCCTATATCGTCATTTCGCCGTCCCCCCAATCCAATCCACAGGTATTTTCTCATCTTCAACCCTTAAGGTCTTGATTTGATCCACAAATTTTAGATTAATTTTTGTTCTGTTATCATCACTAAATGTTTGGATCTTTGTTAAGCCTCAATCCTTACTCTTCAGATTCGACCTTTATTCTCGAGGTTGCGTATGAAACTCCGGTTTTCAGATCTTAAGTATTTGCTCTGTATAATCTTTAGTTGTTCTGTATAATCTTTGTATTTGTTCAGCCATTAAAAGAAGAAAAGAAACTCACCCCATGTAAGAATTGCTTCTTTGACTTCTACTGTTAAGAACTTCTCGTCTCCATGAATTTGTGCTATTTGATCCATTCAATGGTTTTGAGATTTCTTTCGCGTTGCTAGGTATTGTATGTTATTTGGAATTTATGATACAAGAATTTCCTTTTTCATTCATTATGCAACGCGGATGCTATTACTCCGTTTTCGTGCATTTTATTTTATATCGATGTGGCCTTTTATTTCGTTTCCAACAAATAAGACTGTGATTTATTTATGTGTTTCTAAATCATTGATTTACTAGATGCCATTTATTTGTTGTGAGAGTGGTGAAATTGTGTTTTGGTGTGATGTTTGCGCGATTTTGATGCAAAATACTCCCTTTGTCCCGAGAATACCAAAATGATCTTCACCCTTTCCTCTTAAGTTAGGCCCAAAATAATTCTTTATTTCCTTTTGAAGAACACAGTGTGGTTCAAACTTTCTTCTTCTAATCAAACTCTTTCTACACACCTTTCACTTTTCCCAAGCTTCGTGAAATCAAACTGTGAAGTTCTATACGGGACAGAGGGAGCATTGTTTAATGGGATAAAGATGGCCTTACTTGCATGCAGATAGTAATGGGAAGTTTATATACCTTGAAACTGTACTATGGGTTAGGGACTTGCTGATATAGTTGCGTAAGTGATTAAGTGGATATCAAAATGCTATCTTTCATATTAGAATGGCCAATGTTAATCACTCATTTGCCCATGTTTTTATATTCAGTGAACTAGTTGTAAAGATCATTGAGACTCCCTCCTTCCCCACATACACTTTTCTTCCTGATGCTCGTTCGTATTTATATATTGTGCAAAAACAGTGAGGCACTAACATTTTGGAAATGGAGCTGAGTACCATTAAAGATGCTTTTGATAGGGTGACAAAGAAACAGAAACTCTCCTCTTCCAAATCTCAAGAAATAGTAACACAAATTGGGCAAGAAATAGAACAAGCCGTAGCGAGCATTCAAGGGGAGACATCCGTCACTAATCACAAGCTTATTCTGGCAGAGCTGAAGGCCAAGTTGAAGGAAATCGCACCTCTAAACCAGCTCGAAGGTGTATCAAAAGAACTAAACATTGCATTAAGCAAGTACACGAAGATCCTTGAGAAGTTCTTCAACCCCGACATCTCAAAGGCCTACAGAAATGTTGACTTTGACATCCATACCCTCAACCAGATAATTGCCAGCCATTTTTATCAGGAGGGCATGTTTGACATTGGGGATTGCTTCGTGAATGAATCCAGGGAAGAATCAAATGCTTCGATAGATAAAACTCCATACCTAGAGATGTATCAGATTCTAGAAGCCTTGAGGCTCCGGAACCTCCAACCAGCTTTGAACTGGGCTGCCACTAACCGTGAAAAACTCAAACTTTGTGGGGCCGACATTGAGATGAAACTTCACTGCTGGAATTTCGTTGAAATAGTAAAAAACAAAGGCAAAGACGAGGCCCTAAAATATGCTCAAAACTTCTTCCCGCCCTTTTGTGCCAATCACTTAGCTGAAATCCAGAAGTTCATGGGATATCTTGTATATGCCGAGAGACTCGATTCCTCACCATACTCTGATCTCTTATCCCCAAAGCATTGGGAGAATCTGGCCGAGGATCTTAAAAGACAGTTCTGCAATCTACTCGGTCATCCCTATGAGAGTCCATTAAGGGTGACAATTGGAGCTGGGGTCCAGGGATTGCCAACCCTCCTAAAACTGATGAATGTTATGATGGCAAAACAGGAATGGCAGTCCATGAAGGAGTTGCCAGTACACGTGGACCTGGACAGAGAGTTCCAGTTTCACTCTTTCTTTGTGTGTCCGGTGAGCCGTGAACAGGCAACCGAAGAGAATCCGCCTATGTTGTTGTCGTGTGGGCACGTGCTGTGCAGGCAATCTATAACAAAACTGTCCAAAAACAATAGCTCCAGGCCGTTCAAGTGTCCTTACTGCCCCACAGAGGTTGAACTGGTTCTCTGTAAGCCATTGTATTTCTGATATGGTTTCTAGTGTTCTTTGCATGAGCTCCATCTTTGTGTATTCTTCTACTTGTGACCACCCCACTACATTTCCATTTGCTTTCTCTCTCGCTCTCATTCTGTATACTTATCTAGTCTGGGTCAAGTATTAAGTTGCTAAACCTCTTTCATAACATCTCTATGTTTCCGTGGAGGGGTTCAGTTGCCACCGGGCAACGGTGTCACTGGGCGCTGTGGTATTATGTTCGCTAAGTTGATAGTTTGTACCCCCTAACCCCTGGCCCGGTAAACTCCCCAGCCCAATTTGAACCCACTCCCCTATTCCCATCAATTAGACGTCTTTGGAGTCAAACCTTTGGCCAGAAGTCGACCAAACTTGGAGAGTCCAATTGACGAGGGTAGGGGTTCGGGTCGGGCTGGGGGTTTAACCATCAATTTTTTGAATCCGAATGGCACTAAGGGGGAACTGTTGCCCAGCGACAATGGGACCAATCCAATATTTTTGGGGTATTATTTCTATTCTCTTGTTTGCATGCTTGTTTGGCATGTAGATTGAAATTTACTTACTCCGTAGTAGTGTTCGGAAACTTATATTTATTTGAATTCTTAAATTATAAGCGTGTATGTATTTATAATTTAGTCTTTAAGTAATTATAGGGATTTGATCCAAATCCAAATTTTTTGGATATCCAATTATGTACTTCCCTTATAAATTAAATTGTTTGCTTACTATTTACATAGTTAAATTTTATTTATTTTTTATCTCTATTTTCGTTAGTCATTTGATAAAATATTATATTAATGTCACACTAGTTTTTTGTAGATCTTTTCATGTAATTTTTAAATAGGTAATTTTATTTTTGAATTATACATTGTTTTTCATATAGAATAATTTGAAAATAACTGCAGTTAAACATCGTAAACCGAAATAAGTGATTAAAATAAAACAGAGGGAGTAATTTTTATCGAATTTGGATTTGAAATCTCAATATTAGTTCCAAATATGCCATTAACTTAATGAGATTGAATTTAGGTTTCGTTTTGAAACATAGGAAAATGATTTTTGAAAAATAAATTCATTTTTTAGTGTTTGTTTGATTGTATGAAAACAAAATACATTTACTACATAAATCTCATGTGTCACATTTTTTTCAAAATGATCCTTAGGGTGGTGCATAGTATTTGTGGTATTGTACTTTGTAGACATCTGCCAATTCCACCAAGATGGGAAAAATGGACTGAAACGCTCTTGGGATTTTGTTTTCACATTAATTTAGTGTTTGTATCATAAATTCGTTTTATGTTCCTTTTTAAGTTTATTGTATTTTCACTGCTATTTCAGTTTTTCAATGTTGATTCTGGTAGGTTACACAATTAATATTGAAAGTCTAGAGACTAAGTTATAATAACTTTTATAAAGCCAATAAGAGTTAAATTAGATTACCATTAGAACTTGATTTTTTAAATATCTTCGTTTTGTTTTAGACGACTGTCGCAGGATTACCAAAAATTAATCGGAAATAAGGTTGGCCGAAAATAGACAAAGGTTTTCCAAAAAGTCATGGCTGTGTTTGGGATTAGCTTTTTCCATAGTAAAACGTGGATCTAAAATAATTAGTGTTTGTTTCCCGATAGAATGAGAAGCGTTATTCCTCGTCCGGTACCCTCTAGACGCTAAACGCAGAACGCTGCTCCCCTCCAGCGTTTATAGAGTATTTTGGCGTTTTTAAAGTTTTTCCCAATTTTAACCTTGAAAATTATTGCTCCACGCTGCGCCTATTTGCATCTCCTTGTAATTGGGCACTAAAGAACTAGGGTTTATTTGCTTGTATTGGGAGTTGCCCAGGAATCGGAGCAAGTAAGAAATTCAATTCAATACCTTTCCCTTAAAAAAACAATTTAGTATATCTTCTAGCTCCTGAATGTTTTCGAAGTTTGTTGGGTTACGCAACACTTTTTTTTAATTTGCTTATGAATGGTATGCTAAGAGAATCGTGTGCTTGTTTTAATTTTTATTTCACTGGTTTGTTTTGATATTAACGATGATACGGATGAGTATCAACAACAGTAGTAATAAACAATAAGAAAATACTACAAACTTTATATATTAATTTACTCCATATTTATTAATAAGTACTCTATCGTGAGGAAGAAAGATCTCCATGGCCCTTTCAAAGGGATACCGAGTAGTCATATGCATATGAGACCAAGAGTGAAGCAATTGCCGTTTCAATAAACTCCGGGGTATTTTAGTAACTTAAAATTTATTAACGTTTTAAAAGTGTTCAATTACCAAACAATAAAAAATTAAATTGCTAATCACTAACTCTGATGCTAACAGCTAAACTCTAACTCTAAACTTTAACGCTGTTCCCAAACAGGCCCATAATAGGGAGTGCGAGTTCTATGAATAAAATTTGAGATTTGTCGGAGTAATTATTATAAGGTATAATAGAAATGTGTTTTATATTTCAAACTAACGGACCATTAACTTCTAATGGTGGATTTGATGAAATGTATCTTTAGAGTACATTACCAAAAATATCAAATGCCCAAAAGCTATTTTGGAAAATATGAGACCCAAGAGTTTTAAACAAAAAATCAAGGGTATCGCAAAATAATATTCTGCAGTTTTTATTATAAAACATGACAGGTTTCAAATATCTTTCATTGGAAAAAATCAAAGATGATTAACATTTTTTTTAAATCTGAAATTTTGAACAAAAAAACCTGATATTTGAAAATTAAGTCTATCCACATGAGCAATATTTTCAATCTGCATTATCATTTTGAATTATTTTTTAAATGGAGCATATTAACTTCAAGTTAAAAATCTAAAACATGATGTTGGGGTAGATGGAATTGCAAAACGTTGAAATTGTACTCCGTAAGAGTCCGTTTGGTACACGAAATTGATGGAATTGAAATTGAATTGAAATTAAAATTCCATGGGATTCAATTCCATAAAATTGAATTCACCAATTCTAATCCATTTTTTGCACTACCAATTCCAAATTTACATAATTTTTGTGCTACCAAACACGAGAATTGGAATTGAAGTCCTCAATTCCATAGTTTGAATTCCGTGTACCAAAAGGGGACCTCAAACTCCTTTTGATTGGTTTTCAAAAGGTAATACTCACCCATGCTTGTGTTCATGTGCTTTTTATGTCTTGACTCATTTTGTCAAAGGCCCCGTTTGGCATCAGCGTTAGAGATTAGCGTTAGCGTTTTGAAAAAGTTATCTGACGGTAGTCTTTAGCGTTAGCGTTTTCAGAATTAATCTGCACCGTTAAAATTTTATCCAAAACGCTAACGCTAATCAAAAACGTTATTAACAAACAAAGCCAAAGTCGATTTGTTTAGCTTTTTCAATGAGTGATTTTATATTTGAGTTGAAGGCTATTGGATTTGAGAAAGTTCCCCACTACTACCATAGAAATTGTTGGCGTGTATATATTTTATGTGTATATCTTATATATATATAGGTCTCTTCGTTTATATTATCGGGTTGTTCGCTCATCGTTTGTATCACTCATATTATAAGACAATTGAATTCTCGATGGTTTAATTGATCATAAACATCTTGCACAACTAAAGATGGACTACCACATTTTGATGTTATGTCGTCCTACTTTTATTTTCCTTCTAAACATTTCTGAATGTCAAACAATATGTTTTATTATTATTATATTTTTAGAACAAATTCAATGGTTTTATTTAAGTTATTATTAGATAAGTTATTACTCCCTCCGTCCTATAATGATCTTCCCAGTTCGCAAAACGAAGAAAAAACCCAACTTTTTTCAATCTATTTTATTTAAATATTGGTATAGAAATAAAAAATAAAACATACATATTTAAAAACTACATCAAAAGTTCAACAAAATAAGTGGTGACAAGAATATTTTATTTTATCATATAGGCCATGAAAAAACACAAATAAATATAAATTCCCGTGAAGTTGGAATAGTACTCTAGGAAGATCATTATATGACAAAGGGAGTACATCTTAATTTGTATGGTAGTTCATGCTCGTATTAATTTTATGTCTTGACTAGTAGCCTGTACTTAGGTGCTTTTTTTTTGTTTTGACCTTAGTTGTTAAAGTGGGTTCATGTGATTCTTTTTTGTGTTTATATTTAGAGGGTGTTTGGGATTGAATTTGAAAATAACTTATAACTTCTACTTTATTAAAACACAATTTTAAATGTTTGCCGATCTGCTTTAGCTTATAAATTGTGGGTTTAGAAGTTAAAATCAAGGTCTAAAAGTGCTTTCTAGCAAAACTACAAATACATGCTTTCTGCTTCTAAATTATGACTTCTACTTTTACATAACTCACCACACTCCCAAACACCTTCTTAGTTGGCCGTGTTGTTGTGGTTTCATAATCTGTACATTTATATTTGAGTTGAACCCCTCTACTAGCATAGGAATATAAGACAATTGAATTTGATAGTTTAATTGATCATACACGTCTTGCACAACTAAAAATGGATTATAACATTTTGATGTTATGTCGCCTTTTTTTCTTCCAAACACTTCTGAATTAAACAAAGTATATGTTTTATTATTATAATTTTAGAACAAATTCAATAGTTTTATTTAGGTAATTGTAGTTCATGCTGTAGTGATTCTTATGTTTGAGCTTATGTAGTTTTTTTTGTTTTTGGGTCTAGTTGTTAAAGTTGATTCATGTGATTCTTTTTTGTGCTTGTACTTAGTTCGTCGTGTTGTGGTTTCTCAAACTGTGGTTTTATATTTGAGTTGAAGGCAAATTGGAAAGTTTCTCTCAACTACCATAAAGATATTAGACAAATGAATTGATTAGTACATTTTGATGTTATGTCTCACTTTTTTCTTCCAAACGCTTTTGAATTAAACAAGCTATATGTTTAATTATTTATTTTTTGGAACAAATTTAATTGTTTTTTTAAGTAATTAGATAAATTATTACATCTTAATTTGTAGTTCATGCTGGTGTGATTTTATGTCTTTGACTAGTGGCTTGTGCTTATGTGCTTCTGTTTTGGGTCTAGTTATTAAAGTCATTCATGTTATTCCTTTTTGTGCTTGTACTTAGATCGTCGTCGTGTTGTGATTTTTTAATCCGTGCTTTTATATTTGAGTTGAAGGTCTATTGGAAAATTCCTCTCTAGTACCATTAAATCCGATAGTTTAATTGATTATAAATGTCTTGCACAACTAAAAATGGATTACCACGTTTTGATGTTATGTCTTTTTTTCAAAGACTTCTGAATTAAACAATCTATATGCTTTATTATTATATTTTTAGAACGAAATGCGTTTTGGAACTTGTTACGCATTTGTATTACTTTTTAAATATGCGCTAATTCACATTTTAGTTGTGCAATAGAGTATTTTTTAGTATTAAAAAACTGGAAACAACAACTCAGTTGGATCCTGCAAGAGTAAGGTGTGGTATTAAAAAAACTAGCAATATAAAAATAATTATAATACCAAGAAAATCCAAAATAGAAAAAGGGGGAAAACAATATTATTTAATTTTTATTTTAGAATATATAATTCCATTTAATTAG